ACGCACCCGGAGCCCGGCGCCGCCGCGCTCCCCCACCCCGCGCCCGGTGTCATGAAAGAGACCAAAGTGACAAGCTCTCGGGGGGCGCGGGGGAGGGGGCCCACACGCATCCCGCTGCCTGCGCGCGGGCGAGAGCCCGACGCGGCCGCCTCGCCCGGCTCCCTTCCGCACAGCCCCCCACACCCTTCTCCGTGTGCGCGCAAAGAAAAAAATACAAGTCTCTCCTCCCCCCATTTTTTCCTTTCTCTTTTCTCTCTCTTTTGTTCCTCTTTCACACTCACACTCACTACTTCAGAGTGAGATGCCCAGAGACTCCCCCTCCAGCCATTTCAGAGTCACTTGCCCACTTTTTTTCCTGGGATTAAGTTTTCGCCTCTTTCCCAGAGGCGGAGAGAAGTGGGGGAGAAACCCCTTCTGTCCTTTCCCCTCCCCTGATCTGTTTCACAAGAGGAGGGTGCGCTTCCTTCCCTCTGTAGGGCTCTTAACTTTCATCCTCCCCCAGAAAAATAAATGAATGGCTTTTGCATGTACACAGTTTCAGATTAATTAGAGATTAGATCAGATCAACCGCTTCTTACCCCCAAATTTTTCTTTTTTTTCTCCGTCTCACGAGTAGTCCTGACAAATGGTCCAGGGCTGCGGGCGCAGTGCGCATGTGCGCGTAGAGTCAGGGCTGGGGAGAGGGGAAACTGCGCTGGTGCCGGTGCTGCCGCCGCTGCCGCCGCCGCCGGGGAGGCTCGCGCTGGCTTCCCTGTTACTGCTGCTGCGCCTTCGCCGCTGGAAAGCAGCAATAAAGCCTCTTGGCAAATGCAGCTGCCGGCAGATACTGTTTCAGGTGCATCTTTTCAATATCCTTGTCACCGACTTAAAGCCGGCTCAAGAACAGGCAAAACAAATATGAAAGACTGCAAAGGTTATTAGATTTCTTTGTCTATTTCCCACTTTACTTCTTTTTAAGGCCATTCGCAGAGCAGCTAATCCACCATGTGCTGGGGAATGTATGCATTCAGCCATTAAAGAGTGGGCCTTAGTCTTACACAAACCCTGCTAAGGCTAAATCCATGCTACAGTCCATGAGATATAAAGAAATAAAGTTTTAAGCTTTAACGCAGCGGAACCTCCCCCTCTTTTAGGACTCGAAGAATGCATGAGAAAGTGTGGATATAAAACTTGCGCGTTTTTTTCCTCTTCTTCTGTGTAAGATCTTTACTGACAGTTTAAATATGTTGGGCCTCTGTTGTGATACATGTTGAGATTCACAGATCAACCCAGAAATTGGTGTGAAACTACATTGGCAATAAGCAGGTGGAAGAGTACCCTCTTAATGTATTCAGTCAAGATGGCTGAGCCATCGTAAATAATCAAAACCTGTCTTTGTTAACAAATCAAAATTAGATCAAGGGAGTATTGTATTTTGGTATTGACAGCTTTCCACTTACTGACTGCAGGCCTCCTTTTGACTGCTCAGTCATTCTCCTATGAGATACAAGTACTTATAAAATATTTCAAGTGATTGAAGTTGTGATAAACATTTTAATGTCAATAACAGTTTGTTGTGTGAGGAAAAAACAAAAGTAGGTTGGTCTCAGGAATGGCACAGGCAAGTCTTACATTTTCCTGGGGTTGGGGGGTAAGGAGAAGTCCCCATTCCCAGAGTAGATTATTAGTTGTGCATCTAATAAGGGTAAAGGAGGCCCTTTTCTGAAATTGCTGCCCTAGGCATAGAATTTAAATATATCACAGATGGAAATTCTGTATTAAAAACGCTTCTCCAAAATGTAAGTAATATTATTCTTGATTGGATTTTTTCACTTAAGGAATGTTCCTTGAACCGGTTTCAGAAAACAAACTGTTAAATTCTTTCCTTAGGACCATGAAATTAAGCTGGAGAAGCCGACCACTGACTGTTTCTTCTGTTGGTATAGTGACTGAGTTCTCCAAACCAAAAATCAAGACATATGACTTGCCATGTACTTGGAACAAAGGGACGAGCCCTATGAAGCTAAAATGAACTTACAAAATATGCCGCATATGTTGGGTAGCCCTTGGTTTAGTGGGTGTGAAGTGGAGAAGGCTGGGTTAGTGAGAACTATCGATACTCCCTAACCTCCAGTAACCATTGATTTCACCTACCACGTCCAACCTATTTCAGAACTGCTCCCAAACAGCCTAATTAACTGATTTGAATTTCAGCTTCTCTCCCTTTCTCCCTAGCTCTTGAATAATGAGCAGTGAAATGACCAATGGCAGACTACAAGAGAAGGTAAGAAAGGCTCTGAAGTATGTGCAAATCTAAGACCCTGCTCCCAAATAAACTAAAATTGATTTTAGATTCCTCTTTCTGAAAACCTGTTTTAGATTTATTCTCACTAGATAATTTCAAGATGATATTTCTGTTGTATGTATGTTTTCAGAGATACTGGTTCAACGTTCTGTAAACATACATTGAAGGCCTATCATGTGCTTAGCAGTCTACAAGGTGTTGGGGTTAAACAGATGATCAAATCATGAGCCTGGTCACAAGGAACTTAGTCCAGAGAAAGAGATAGTCTAATAAAACGGCCATTGCATTTCAGGAAGGTAAATGTTATAGTTATTGATGTTGTTGGGTGTCATCGAGTCAATTTTGACTCAGGGAGATGCCGTGCATGCAGAGTAGAACTGCTGCATGAGGTTTTCAAGGCCTTTCAGAAGCAGATCACCAGGACAGTTTTCTGAGACACCTCTGGGTGGATTTGAACTGCCAGCCTTTCAGCTAGTAGTTAAGCACTTAACTGTTTGCACCACCCAGGGACTCCTAAATGTCAGAATTGTCATTCTTGTTAGGTGCCGTTGAGTCGATTTTGGACTGATAGCAACCCCATATGACACAGTAGAACTGCTCATAGTAAGGGTATGTATGTAAGGCAAGAACAATCAAGGAATACCCATGGTAGTAAGGAAAGGCTTTCCAGAAAATGTGATAGCTAAGCTGATTCTTGAAGGACAAATGTCCAGGATTTATGGGCCCACTCTGCCTCCCAGAAGGTGCCTAGGAAGGTGGTCCAATCCTAGAAGACCTTAGGAAAGGCCCAAGGCTGTGGAGAGCAGGGCCCCCTGGGAACTGTGAGGTTAAGTTTCACTAATAAAAATAAACATGAGTTGAGGTTCTCTCTCCACAACTCATTTTCTTTCCCTCCAGATATCATCAGTAAAACCTCAAAGATTTCATCTCAGTTGTTTCCAAGATGTTGTCGTACAGGATAATAGAGATTTTGAAGGCACTTACCAGTAAGAATAGTCATTTTAAAGACTAAAGACTGCTACCACATTTTCTGCGAAGAACCCTTTGGTGCCACCATCTGAGAGAGAGGCAGAATGCAGTATTAGAATGTAGATAACATTGTTTTATTCTTCATATAAACAGATAGTGTTTACAAGACCCTTTCCACCTGTTCCTTAAATGCTAATACACTAGTAGAAGCTTCTTTGATTTTCCTTCACCCTTCCACCATTCAGTCACTGTTTAATAATTCATGATGAATTCCTTATTTCCAGCATCACATGATTTCATCATTCTCCACTGCTCTCCCCACTCACCAACCTACACTGTCCTACTCTACCACACTACATGCCAAATCTATCCTTCAGACGCAGGATCAGATGGTCTATAATTTCCCTGACATCCCAAATAATGTTATTAACTCACTCCTTTATTTTTCTTTATACCCAAACTTATTCTTCCCAAAATTATTTCAGATAACTCCACACCTATATATTCTGAAGAGTCTGTGGGTGCACCATTTAGCTGCTAACCTTAAACTTGGAGGTATAAGTCCATCCAGAGGTACTTTGGAAGAAAGGCCTGGAGATCTACTTCCGAAAAAAAATCACCCATTGAAAATCCTATAGAGCACAGTTCTATTCTTGCTACTGTCACACACATGGGGTTGCCATGAGTTGAAATCTACTCAATGGCTATATATATATATATATGTATATGTTCTGAAGCTAAGATCATTTTACATGGAAAGTGTTTTAAACAAATCATTACACTCTTCAGAGACTTTTTGAGGCTGGTCCTCAATACCACCCCCACCCCCAGACAAAGATCATTCAGAGTCTGTCACTGTACTCCATCCTGAAACCTCCACTCTGCATTAACTTTAACTTAGAAACCTACATTTTCTTTTCCTAGTACTAAGCCTGTCCTGCTTTCCTAGGACACACTCCTCCTACTTGCCCTCCAGTATCACCCCTAAACTGGAACAATTCATGGAGGTCCTCCTCCATGAGCCAGCTCCTCATAAATTGAAAGTGCCCAGGAGTGAAGTCCAAGAGATTTGCGTTCTAATCTAGTTCTGCCACCACCCACTGGGAACCATTAGGCAGGTCACCTCACATGTTAGGGCCTCAGTTCTCTTGCCATAAGACAAAGAAAACAGAATAATTGATTTCTAAGGTCTCTTTGAACATCATGCCCCTCCCCCCCCCATCCATTAAGAGGAACACTGTCACAATTTAGTACAAATAACATAGAACCAAGGAAGGAGTTTTAAGTAAGGAGTAAAATCCTATTCATCTGCTAGGTATAAGGATGTTATCAATGAAGAGCTCATTTAGCTGGTTTAAGCCTGATACTAATGAGATGAAGGTCATGGGTTCTATTCCCTAATGGCTGGTTGGTTTTGATCTGTTTCATAGCCACAAACTGCTTTGCTAACCCAGTCCCCCATGTTGCAATGTGTGCTATTGGTCACAAGTCTTAAGGTAAAATTGAGTCTATCCATAGAAATTTTCTAAATGAGCAATACTTGAAATCATCCTTTAAACGTATTATCTTACTTTTTAAGTATAAGTCAAATTATTGATTTTTTTAACCTACCTAATTGTGTACTCCGTGATTTTCTAAGTATAAAAATGACGTTACTATTGATTTGACCAAGATTCTTATTATTGATATTTGTAAGAGCTGAGTCTGATTTTCCTGTTAGTGTTCTAGATAACACCAAAATGTTCATATGAGTACTCTAATTTGAATCCTGATTATCTTTCCTGTGACACATCTGCAGACATTCTTAGCACAGAGCTTGTGATAGTGAAATGTAATTGAAATGCTGAGGGTGAAAGGAAAAGGGTAATTACTCAACAGGTAAGGAAAGACTTATAATGTGTATCACATTCTAAACATCTCAAGGAAATTAAATATATAAAGAGGCTCTGGATAGATGTGCATATTTATTATCATTTCATTTAGGTAAAAAACCAAAAGCCAAACTCATCACCGTCCAATTGATTCTAACTCATAGCGACCCTGTAGAACAGAGTAGAACAGCCCTAAAGGATTTCCAAGGAGTGGCTGGTGGATTTGAACTGCTGACCTTTTGGTTAGCAGCTGAGCTCTTAACCACTGTGCCATCAGGGCTCCATTTAGGTACAAAGAAGTTATCAAATAAAGACTGAAATATTTATTACAGAAATATTCAAAGGAGTGGGATAATATGGGACTATACACTGACTTCTAAAAAAGCAAAAGACAATTTATATTAATTTTCCATAACATGCCTACTCATTTAAAACCTAAATCAAGAAACATTATTGTTGTTGTTAGGTGCTGTCAAGTTGGTTCCAACTCATAGTGACCCTATCTATGCACAACAGAACGAAACAATGCCCAGTCCTGCGCCATCTTCACAGTCATTGCTATGTTTGAGCCCACTGTTGCAGCCACTGTGTCAGTCCATTTTGTTGAGAGTGTTCCTCTCTTTCTTTACCAAACATGATGTCCTCCAGGGACTGGAGAATATTAGAGGAGACAAGCCAAACTTCAGAACATATCTCTGCCAATACCTTTCCCTCCTAGAGCCTTAGACTTGGTTCTAAGCCATCCCTTCCCTTTGACCCGGCCTCCACCCACAGCTGATTGTCCAGGAGTGGGCATTTAATTCGAGGACTGAATCAAGTGGCAGGGAGGGGCCTATGAATCAACTTGGAGTGTTTCCCCATGTGAATGAATGCAATGAAATAGACCAGTCACATTCCCAGGCTTCACCATGTAAACTGAAGATACCAGAGATAAAGTCATTTGGCTGCTATTGTTATTGGCTGCCGCCGAGTATATTCTGCCTCATAGAGACCCCATGTGACAGAGTAGGACTGTCCTATAGTTTTTCTTGGCTGTAATCTTTATGGAAGCAGATCACCAGGTCTTTCTCCCACAGAGCTGCTGGGTGGGTTCGAACCACCAACCTTTTGGTTAGCAACCAAGTGCTTAACTGTTGTACCACCAGGGCTCCTAAGTAGGCATTGCAAAAATTTAAAGATTCACAGAGAGAAAAAGATAGAACGCAGGTGCCTTAAGGCTACATTAGCCATGAGGCATTAGAAACCATGCATAAGTAGAAACCATAGGTGGAGAAGAACAGAAGTTAGCTAGCAGGAGGAGCAAAAGATAAAGGTATTTGTCAGGTGCCAGAGCTGCACTGGACTCTGCATGACCCCCTATTCCCAAATGTCATTCTAGTCATTCAGAGGCCTGGCCACTGTATGGTTACCATGAAGAAACCTGCATAGCTTGACTTCCTGTCTTCACTCGCCTATCCCTACGATAAACTTCCCGTCCCTTGTGGAAAATTAAGTGCGTGGTATCTCCAAAGATAAACAAAAGACCCAGGTAAGCAAGTGTGTATAACTTGTTCTCTTTGGCCTTTTGAAATTAAAGAAGATCAAGTTAGGCAGTTAATTTAGTGAATCCAGTACCCAATCATTTTTTACTCATTATTGGAACATATTGGCCAGACAGCGGAAGTTCAAATCCCAGTTTCACCGCTTACTATTGTGTGGTTTTATGCAAGTTACTGGATGGACTTCTCTTGCCTCGGTTTCTACATCTGAATAATGAGGTTGCTAACTCTACCTGGCTCATGGGGTTGTTAGGAGGGTTCAGTGAGTTAATGCAAGAGTAATCCTTGGCCCATGGTAAGTGATAAATAAATGCTGGGTTCTGAGTAGGGACTTATGCCTGTTTTGTTCTCTGCAGTGTTCCTAGCACCAAAAGCGATAGCTGCACATATTAAGCGTGCAATAATTTATTGCTGTTTATTGAATGACTTAAAGAAGTTTTTTTATTATGAGAGTTATTACATCAGCTCTTTTACTTACCCCTTCACCAGCTGGTTACTAGGCCATAGGTGTCATGTCACACACAATCTCATGGGCAACATCCTCCTAAAAGTTCCTAAAAGCATGTAAACAGAGAGTGCTAATAGAATTCATAGGACCTATTTCAAAGAAGCCTGCTGTTCAGAATATATTATCTTTATTTAGCATTTATATTACACTTTTACATTTTCAAAGCCCCTTTCAGTTTTTTAACTAAATATTTGTTATAACATTCCTACGTTATCTTTCATAGGGGAGGTAACTGAAGCATGGTTCCAATCACTAATACCTATATCTGGAATTGAATTTGTCACATAAATATAGTAAATTTAACTGTATATATAAAAAAAACTGGAACATTACTGTGTTCACGTAGAATGCCGATTGGAGTGTTGGTGTATGAGAAGACAATCTGTTAAACTAAATTATACTAGCTTTGCCTTGCACTTGGTTCTATTTCAGAAACTAGAATCAATAGAAAGGTTTTTTTAAACTGAGGTTTCTTAATGGGTTTGAAGTCTTTAAAAAATAAAATTTTGAAATTCCATTTTGAAAGAATCTTTTCTATATCTCAGTAATTTCCCAATCTCTTTCTATGAAAAGTTCTTAGAGAAAGTAGTTCTTTTCTAGTGTCAGTTTGTAAACCCTGGTGGCATAGTGGTTAAGAGCTATGGCTGCTAACCAAAAAGTCAGCAGTTTGAATCCACTAGGCGCTCCTTGGAAACCCTGTGGAGCAGTTCTACTCTGTTCTATAGGGTAGCTATGAGTTGGAATCATGTCATTTTGTCAGGGTTTTCTGTATTGTGCCCTTAGAATTTGTCAATAGTGAAGAATGAAACCGGTAAAAATCAGCATAAAAAAACTGAAAGATGAAACCTGTTGTTGTTGAGTCTATTCCAACTCATAGCAACCCTATAGGACTACCCCACAGCGTTCCCAAGGAATGGCTAGTGGATTCGAACTGACAGCCTTTTGATTAGCAGCCAAAATCAACATAAAACCCGCTGCTGCTGGAATCAGTCAAACCAAACCCACTGCCGTCGAGTCGATTCTGACTCATAGCAACCCTATAGGACAGAGTAGAACTGCCCCAACAGGGTTTCCAAGGAGCGGCTGGTGGACTCAAACTGCTGATCTTTTGGTTAGCATTCGAGCTCTTAACCACCGCACCACCAGGGCTCTAAAATTGGACAAGAGTAATCTAATTTAAAGGCCCATAAATGGGCTAAGGAGATCTGGGAAATACCCGAATCCAATCAGGTGCCTCTGTGGGGTTTCAGGGAAGTCTGAAAATGTGTTAGACAGAAAAGAGATTCTGAATTTTGGTTACTATTTCAGCTGACTGGCTTCACTACAAATTAAAATAATCCTAACTCAGAGGGGCCCTCAATAAAGCCAGACAATCCATTAATTTAAACCTAGTTGGCCCCCTGTTCTGTAGCCCACACCAGCTGTTGACTAGTCTCAAGGCCAGACTCCACTCAAGGTTCCCTCAGCCTCCACAGGTTGACTTTATCCCAGTGCAAACTCCTGCTCTTCCCTTTGACTTTCAAATCTTTCTCTCTTCTCATCCTACTTTGGGGAAAGAATATCCTTCCTTCTTCCCCAGACTAACCCTTGTAAATGTGCTCTTGAACACACCCTTTATCTGTATTCCTCCATGAATTTTCCTCATTCTTCCAATATTTTTCAGTTTGTTATTTTCCACTGGCTTTTACCTCACAGCCAAAAAAAAAAAAAAACTCATGTCTCCCTAGTCCTAAAAAAAGAAAACCGTTCTTCAATTCTATATTCCTTCAAATACTATACCATAATTTCTCCTTTTCTTTGCTGCAAACTTCTTGAAAAAGTAGTTTATGTCCACTTTCCTCATTCCCCTACAACTTATTCATTCTTCAATCTATAGACACTGCTCTACTTGCTTTCTTCTCTGTAGATTCTCCAGTAACTTCCTAAATGTCAAATCTAGCAGCCACAGTCCACTTCCTATTTAAGATTTTTGGAAGCATTTGATACTTTTGACTAATCCTTTCCTTGAAACTACCTTCTCATACACTCACTTTGTCAATTCACTGTTCTGGCTGTCCTCTAGTCCCTCAGACCACTTGGTTCTTTCTTCACCAGCCCCTCTTCCTCTTTCAACCTGATAAATATATGTGCTTCCCGAGTTAAGTTCTGGCTTTCTCTTCTTTGTATACATTCTCTCCTGAGTGGACTCATGTTCTCCCTCAACTTAGCTTGAACTTATCTTTGTCTAAAGAACTTCTAGACTATATTTTTTAACCTACTGAGCTTTAGACTTATATTTCCAGTTTCTTGAGGGATACATCCATGTGAGTATTCTCTATGTTTAAAGACAATGGAATAATGTGGTGTTTAAAAGCTTGAACTTTGAAGTTTCACCTGGGTTGGAGTCCCAATTCTATCATTTAATTAGATATTAGACAGTAACTTAATCTACCTTAGCTGAGTTTCCTCCCATGTGCAGTATTCCCCAGGTTACTGGGCCGTTATCAAGATTACATGAGATCTTGTTGTTGGGTGCCATCAAATTGATTCCAACTCATAGCGACCCCGTGTGACAGAGTAGAACTGCCCCATAGGGTTTTCTTGGCTGTAATCTTTATGGAAGCAGATAGCCAGGTCTTTGTCCTGTGGAGCTGCTGGGTGGATTCTAACTGCCAAACTTTCGATTAGCAGTCAAATGCTTAATTGTTACGCCACCATTAAATGAAATACTGTATATGAAGTACCTAAGATGTAAGTGCTCAGTAAGTGGTACTTATTGTTTTTACCTGTTTTTTTCCTCTATCGGCATTCTTCATCTCAGTGTATAATGTCACCATGCTCTCTGGCACTGATTTTAACAATTTCCTCTTCCTACCACTCACATCCAATTGGTGACCAGACCCTATTGATTGTTCCTCTATAAATTTCTCCACCACTCCCCTCTCCTACTTCTAACTATTCTCTTTGCCAAGGCCATACTTTGCTTCCTGCCAGAATTACTACCCTAGCTTTCTAACTACATTCCTTGCCACTGCAATTATCCTTCTGGAATATACAATTGGTAAAGTTATTCTCCTGCCCCAGATCTCTAAATGGCTCCCCATGCCTTTAGAAAAAATGTGTCTCCTTGGTATGGTACTTAGTGCCATTCAAACACTGGAATACATGGATCTTTCCGTCTTCAGCTGGCATACCCCCCAAACCGATGAGTAAGCCATACCAAGCAAGCACAGTGCATTGTCACCCATCTTTAGTTCATGCTGTTTCCTCAGCTTGAAATGCCCTTTCTCTGCCCCTTCTTGACCTATCAAAATATGTCATCTTTAGTTACATATATTAAGTACCAGCAACTGTGGTAGGCACTTGGGAATACAGAAACAAGTAAAATTCTCCCTGCCCTAGAGAGGCATCTAATTGAGAAGGGCTCAAATTCTATCTCTGCTATGAAAAACTCCAGGTAACCACACATGAAATTTAAAGATTTCTTCTGTCTCTGTATACATTTTAGCGCTTGTCACATCCTGTTCTGTATCATGTCTAGTCCTTGTAAATGTTTGCCTCTCTTTTAAGATAATAAAGTACCCTAAGGTCAGGAGCTCTGTCTTATCTCTTCATTTTTGTATCTATCGTAGCACTTAGTACAGTTCATTGCACATAATGGGAGCTCAATAAATACTTGTGGATTAGAACAGAATGGAATGAAAATTCATTTCAGCCATAAACTATGTTCTTGTCTGGAAATGACCCAAAGACAGGCCTTTCTCAGAATGGTTGTACTGACCAGTGGCATCCTCCAACAAAAAGAGCAAAGGAAAGCCCCCCTCACAAACACAGCTATACCTCTCAATAGCAGGTACTCACTATTAGGAATTCTATTTATGATCCTTAGTAAATACAGCTGTCATCTCCTATCTGAATTAACTTTCTAAAAGTACAAATTTAAAGCCGATTTAAATGTCCAGCATATTTTCAGTGAGATCTGTGAGCCAAACCTTAAGAGTTTTGTGTGAAGACATGTAGACTTCAACAGGCTGGCTTCCCTCCCTGACCCACTGGAGTTTAGATGAGTCTCTCTCAAAGCTGGTTTGGTTTTGAGTACAAGGTAATTAAGAAGCAAAAGTAGCACTTAGGAATCTATTATTCCTAACCTCTGATAACCTTCCTCATTATAAATCATCTAGGTAGCAACAGACACTTAAGCCTGCCTTCTTAAGTGTTAGGAAAACTACTTTTCCTTCATCATTATGGGACTTCTCTCTTTTCATCTTTGAGAGTAAAGTTCTTTGTTGGACTGTATAGACAAGGCTACAAGACCTAGGCCCCTGATGTTAATAATTAAGGCTCAAGTTTACTGAGTGCTTACTGTATGCTAAGAACTGTATAAAGCACTTTACATGTATTACCTCATGTCTTCTTACCAAACCTGAGGTAGCAATGTGGATTTCTTTTGTGTGTGCCTGCCCCAAATCCCTTTCCTCTTCTTTCGATAACAGCAACACACTTTCCCTTTAGGGAACTCCCCTTCCTCATTCCAAGTAGTCTTGGGTGTTCATCAATTCTAAATCTTCCTCATATCAAGGAATGGGTTGATGACCTAAATGAGGCCAATTAAACTTTGTCAGGAGAACACAATTCCCCAAGCTAGTGACAGGGGTACGATGGGTGGGTGTGGGTAGGATACTTCAAAGTACATACCCAAAATTCCCTGTTATCCCTCAAAGTATCCCTGGTTACATATCCCCAGTTGAAAACCAGTTACCATCTAGTCGACTCTGACTTGTTGTGACACCATGTGTGTCAGAGTAAAACTGTACTCCATAGAGTTTTTAATGGCTGATTTTTTGGAAGTAGATCACCAAGGCCTTTCTTTTGAGACACCTCTGGGTTGGATGCGAACCCCCAACCTTTCAGTTAGTAGCTGAGCACGCTGTTTAGACCACCCAGGGACTTCCGTATTATCCCAGAGTCCTGATTATTTAGCTTTTCCTTTAATTCTGTGACATACCAAATTTTGTTCAAATAAATTTTTCTTTTTATTTAATGTTAGCCCAAATCAATTGCTTGTAACCTAAAACTCTCCCTGGTAATGTAGTATATTTGTTTTCTACTGTTATGTAGTAGATTACCACAAATGTAGTGGCTTAAAACAACATACTTTTTTTTTGTCTCACAGTTTCCATGGGTCAGGGGTCCAGGCATGGCTAAGCTGGGTCTTTGCTAAGGGTCTCACAAGACTCTAACCAAGGTGCTGGCCCCCGGCTAAGGTCAGAACAAGGGGATACTATGTGGTTTAAAATCAGGAAAGGTGTGTGTCAGGGTTGTATCCTTTCACCATTCTTAGTCAATCTGATACTGAGCAAATAATCCAAGAAGCTGGACTCTATGAAGAAGAATGCGGCATCAGGATTGGAGAAGACTCATTAACAACCTGCAATATGCAGATAACACAGCCTTGCTTGCAGAAAGTGAAGAGGACTTGAAGCACTTACTGATGAAGATCAAAGATCACAGCCTTCAGTATGGATTACACCTTAACATAAAGAAAACAAAAATCCTAACAACTGGACCTATAAGTAACATGATAAATGGAGAAAAGATTGAAGTTGTCAAGGATTTCATTTTACTTGGATCCACAATGCAAACTCTGTGTTGCATTGGGCAAATCTTCTGCAAAAGACCTCTTTAAAGTGTTAAAAAGTAGAGGTGTCACTTTGAGGACTAAGGTGTGCCTGACCTAAGCCATGGTATTTTCAGTTGCCTTATATGCATGCGAAAGCTGGAGAATGAATGAGGAAGGCTGAAGAAGAGTTGATGCCTTTGAATAATGGTGTTGGCGAACAATATTGAATATACTGTGGACTACCAGAAGAACGAACAAATCTATCTTAGAAGAAGTACAGCCAGAATGTTCCTTAGAAGTGAGGATGGTAAGACTTCATCTCACATACTTTGGACATGTTATCAGGAGGGACCAGTCCCTAGAGAAGGACATCATACTTGGTAGAGGATCAGCAAAAAAGAGGAAGACCCTTATCGAGATGGATTGACACAGTGGCTGCAACAATGGGCTCAAACATAGCAACAATTGTGAGGATGGCACAGGATGGAGCAGTGTTTCGTTCTGTTATACATAGGGTCAGTATGAGTTGGAACTGACTCAACGGCACCAAACAACAAAGATCTCATCTTAGATTTGCAGCCCTCTTCCAAACTTACATGGTTGTTAGCAGAACTCAGTTTCTTGTGAGTTATGGGACTGAAGTCCTCTTTTCTTGCTGGCTGCCACCTGGGGCTGCGCTCAGCTGCTAGAGGCCCTTGAATTTCTTGCCACATGACTTTGGCCATAGGCCTCTCACAGCATGGCAGCTGACTTCTTTAAGGCCAGCAGGAGAATTTCTCTCACTTGAAATCTCTCTTTTTTAATCTGCCTCTTTTAAAGGGCTCATCTGATTAGGTCAGGCCCACCTGGAATACTCTCCCTTTTGATTAACTCAAAGTCAAATGTTTAGGGACCTTAATTACACCTGCAGAATAGTTTCACCTTTGTCATGTGACATAACCTAATCACATGAGTAAAATTCCATCATAAGCGTCTCCCACTCTGGAAGAGAAGAGTTTATACAGGACTTGTACAGCAGGGAGTAGGAATCTTGGGAGCTATCTTTGAATTCTGCCGACCACAGGTAGCTTCTATTATTATATCCATTTTATAAATGAAGAAACTAAGGTTTAGAGAGGTTATATAATCTGCCCAAGATAACAAAAGGACATGAATAGGATTTGCCTTAAGGAGTAAGAGTAAAGAGGTATCAGGGAGCATGAGGGAAGAGCTTTTCCATGCCCTCTATTCTTTAGTGAATTCTCTTCACTTTGTCCTTGCTCGTGGTAAGTGGAAACACCGTAAGCTTTTTCATAATTAAAGGATGATGATAAGTTTCCTCACATCTTGGGATTCTGTTTTCTTTGGTTGGCCTTAGGCAGGCAGTATAGAAACCAAGGAAAATAAATTTTGTTCAAAATATAGACAAATAATCTCATACTTAATAGTATCATCTAAAGCATTTTTTCACTGAGCTACTATGTATATATTATACCAGTTTATTGCCTGCTACTTTCCTTATGTAAATTTATCCTATTTTTCCTTGGAGAATTCATTTTTTTCTCTTAGGCCCAAGACGTCATTGAGGGTTATCAGGTAAGGGAGAGGAAATAGAGGAAAAAATAGCATTCTAGACTCTTAACAAATCATAGTATATCCACACCAGAAATACTTTGTTTATTTGTATTGCTAGAAATTTTATATGAAACAGTAAATAAATTACATGAAAATAATGACTTTTGAATTATTTACTAGGAGATTTGGGATTTTTTTAAATTAAAATATCCATTTACCCAGAGCCCATATTCCAGCCAAATATTTATTGAGCTCCTACTATATGCCAGGTACTAAATTCTGAGAATAAAGCACTGAAGAAGACATGTATCACCACTCGTCTTAGGATTTAGAAAGTAGTAGGGATATTGTCAGTAAACAGACCATATAATGATCATGATTTATGCTACGGTAGAGGAAGTACAAAGTCCTGTGGAAATATGAAAGAAAAGAATTTTGTTGAATGTTAGGGAATCATATGAGGTTTTCTGGAGGGTGTGATATCTACATTGATATGTGAAAATAGAATTGGGGAGTGTGAGACGCTTTAAAGAGCAAAAGATCAATAAATAAATAAAAAATTATAGTCTGGGGGTGAAAAGGGGGTAGCTAAGGACTTTCATTTCTTTTAATTATTTGAAAATGTTTATAAAATTAAGAAAAAGTTCTTCCCATAATCACAGAGATTCCTCATTATGTCACCTTCTCAGCCATGTCTATATACCTACCTGCAGCTTCCAAACGAAAATGTGTCTTGCCTGTCTGCAGCAGACTTTGCCTGGAACCCATCTCCACACCTGGCTTTGAAATCTCACCTCTGTAATGAGCACCATCCCTTCCTCTGACCACCGTGCATTTGGAATTTGCAAACGCCAGGACCTTGTGTTCACGGTACAATTAGCACTAGGTGCTTCAGGGCCTCTAGCAAAAGTTGCCAGATTGTTTCAACCACATACCAGACAAATGCCAAAAACTTATGACTTCTCCTAAATTACATTTGTGATATAGGTCATTTATTGACAGTCAACAATACATCTTATATATTGCAATAGATTCTGCAGCTTTCTTAAATTTTTTTTTTTTTGTAAAGTCAGTTTTGCTACCAAACATGTTAAACTGTGTGTGCATGGGTATGTGCACACTCACCACTCCATCCTACTGCATTCATCTGACCACAGTTACACTTGACATTGATGTAGCCTATTTTTAGAAAGCTGCAATAGATTCTGTTTAAAAAAATGAGCTTATAGGTTTTAGAATATATATCAAATTACAAATGCACTCATCTTTCACCAAGTATTTTTACTTCTGTTATACAGACATTCCTACAGATGTGTGATATGACATGGGTACAGGGTTATTCACTGGAGCATTGCCTGTAAGAACAAAATAACTTAAAAAAAATCATCATCATGAGACTGGTTTAGAAAACTGCAGTACATTCTCACAAGGAGATAATGTAGTTATAAAAAGGAAGCTGTGTATGTATTGATATGAAACAATTCCTAAGACATGATGTTAAGAAAGCAAGGTGTACGATTAATTAGTGTAGTATGCTTGTATAAGAAAAGAATACGTAAAGAATATGTGTATGTATATGTAGAGAATATATATGAATATATATACACACTATATGTACTGTATACTACATATATATATACCTATTCTATATGTAGCCTATATACACACTATACCATCTCTCTGTCAGTTTGTTATACTGTGGTGGCTTGCATGTTGCTATGATGTGGGAAGCTATGTCATCAGTATTTCAAATACCAGCACTATTACCCATGGTGGACAGGTTTCAGCAGAGCTTCCAGACTAAAACAGACTAGGAAGAAAGGCGTGGTGATCTATTTCCAAAAATTAGCCAATGAAAACATTATGGATCAGAACAAAAGATTGTCCAACTCAAAGGACTAATTGTCCACAGCTACCAAGGCCTCCACTGGACTGAGTCCAGTACAGCTAGATGGTGCCCTGCTACCACCACGGACTGCTCTGACCAGGATCACAACAGAGGGTTCTGGACAGAGCTGGAGAAGGATGTAGAGCATAATTCTAACCCACAAAAAAAAAGACCAGATTTACTGGCCTAAAGGAGACTGGAGAAACCCCGAGAGTATGGCCCCCACACACCCTTTTAGCTCGGTGGTGAGGTTACCTCCGAGGTTCACTGTTCAGCCTGGGAGTGGATAGCCCTGTAAAACCAAATGAGACTAACGAGGTACAGGAGTCCAGTGACAAGGGCCAGAAAGCAGAAGGGGATAAGGAAGCTGGTGATAGGGAGCCCAAGGTTGAGTAAGGATATTGTTGATGTGTTGTGAGATTGTTAACCATTGTCATAGGGCAACATGTGTAGTAACTGTTAAATGAGAAACTATTTTGTTCTGTAAGCCTTCATCTTAAGTGAGAATAACAGCACAATTGGAAGAGCGTAGTCAGTCACTGAACTGTGTATGTACAAACTTTTGAAATGGTGTATCTTTGGCTATGTGTATTTTCACCAAAAAAAAAAAAAAGGTTGAGAAGTTAGAGGGTTGATATGTTGTGGGGTTGTTAACCAATGTCATAAAACAACATGTAGTTCTGTTTCATGAGAAACTATTTGTTCTGTAAGCCTTCACCTGAAGTACAGTAAAACAAACAAACAAAAAAAAAAAAACATTGTCCAACTCTCTTGCTTTGAGCACATCCTAAAAAGGGATCAGTCACTAGAGGAGGGCATCATGTTTGGTGAAGTAGAGGCAAACCAGGATGAGGGAGACCTTCAGTGAGATGGATTGGCACAATGGCCACAATAGACTCAGATATACTGGCGGTTGTTAGAATGATGCACGACTGGGCAACATTTGTTTCTGTTGTACATAAGATCACTATGAATTGGAGTCAACTCAACAGCAGCCAATAACAATATATTTTCTGTATATATACACCAGGTGAAATATTTAGTGCGTGTGTAATTTTGATATACGTTACAAAAGCTATAAGCTCATTTTTAAAAGAGATCTATTGCACAAAAATATAAAAATAGGCTTTATAAAATAGGCTACATCAGTGTCAGATATATACATATATGCATGTGTGTGTATATGTAGGTACATATATATATATATATATGTATGCAGAAAATAGGCTACATCAGTGTCAACTGTATATGTATGTGCATATAACTGTTGGAAACCCTGGTGGCGTAGTGGTTAAGTGCTACAGCTGCTAACCAAAAGGTCTACTCTGTCCTATAGGGTCGCTATGAGTTAGAATTGACTCATGGCAACGGGTTTGGTTTTTTGTTTTTGGTATATGTATGTATGTATATGTATGTGAAGGAGCCCTGGTGACACCGTGGTTAGGCGCTCGGCTGCTGACCAAAAGGCTGACAGTTCGAACCCACCAGCTGTTCTGCAGGGGAAAGATGTGGCAATCTGCTTCCATAAGGATTTCAGCCTTGGAAACCCTATGGGGCACTTCTGCCCTGTTCTGTAGGGTCACTATGAGTTGGAATCCACTCAACCGCAATGGGTATGTGTATACAAATGTGTATATATATGAAATACATAATTTGTATGTACATAAACAAGTGGTTCTTGTATTTATTTTTATTTTTTGGTCACACAACCCCTTTATACTCTTAAAAATTATTGAGGATTCCAAAGAACTTTTGTTATATAGTAAATATTGTTATATATAACCCACATAAATTAAAGCTGAAAAGAATTTTGAGTATTTATTTTAAAATGATAATAATAAACCCATTACATGTTAACATAAGTAACATATTTTTATGAAAATAACTAGGTTTTCCAAAACTAAACAAGTTTATTAGTGGCATATTTTTATATTATTGCAAATTTCTTGAATGTCTGCCTTAATAAAAAACATCTGGATTCTCATATCTCCTTCTGCATTCAATGTTATGATATGTTCTGGTTGAAGTACATGAAGAAAATATGGCCTCACACAGATGTAAGTTTGGAAAGGAATATTTTAAAATCCTTTTCAGATAGTTGTGGATATTCTTCTTTGATATTACATCAATATTTGACAACTAGTAGTTTCTTAAAGGTTGGTTACAGTGTGAAATCTGCAGCCCTACCAATGAGCATTTCCTATTGTTAAAGTCCATTGGTCTGTCTTCCATTTTGAATGGATTTTTTACCATGCATGATTTTATAAGATCATGTATTGGTCATTTGGAAAACGTTGGTCCATTGAGCTATGCAGATATTCCAGATGTTAACCCGTTTCATTCTACAATGTCAAAAAATATATTTTTTAAATATCACCACCAATTTCATCGTAAATGCCATTAGGTGCTGGGAAGCTGTCAAGCTCACAGTGGTGGATACAAGTTTTCCAAAAATCTAGTTCTTACTTATAAGCTTCAATGTTATCATTTGCGTCTCATATTGTTATTTGTTTGTCTTGATGTAGCAGGCTCATTTTATTTTCAAGAAAATGTTTACCAGATATTCAAGTGTGAATAACCATAGTTTGTCATTTTTTCAAGTAAAAATGGTGATCCATGAACAAAGCAGCTAGTTGAGTTTGCAGCTCAAACAATCACACAAGGGTTTTATCTCAAGACAAACATAGTTCTTGGGTATGCAACAGAAGTGTTTTATGTGTACTCCCCACTGTTTCAGACAGAATATTCAAAAGACACGTAGTTGAGTCAAGATTTAATACAATTATTAGTTTTTACTGCTTCATCAAGGACATTCTTTTAAGTGAAATGTGTTTTTGTTTGTGATTGCATGGTAGTGAAGAATATAATGATTACTGCCAAGGTGCCAGCAAGTTCATCCACCACTGCTTTTGTGTCCTAAGTATAGATGCCAACACAGTGAAAATGGCAAATGATGTCTTAGTACTATATGAACATAGTTTTGATCTCACAAACTACCTACAGGTATGTAGGGGAACCACCAGGGATCCACAGATAAGATTTTGGGAACAATTGGCATAAACTATTCCTGGAGTAATATATTAGAAACTGTTTAATATTGTTTGCCTCCAGTGAAGAACACTGGGTAATTGGGGGACAGGTGTAGGAGAAAGATATTTTACTATATACTGTTTTTACTTTCAAACATGAGCCAAGGAAATGTGTCAGTCATTCCAAAATAAATAAATTTAAAAAGGATTTTAAAGAGCTTAAGAAATTTGAAAGTTGGACCAAGGACAGTAGGGTAACAATGTAGATTTATAAAGGATGCATAGCTGCAGAGTGGCTTGTTGGTAAGTACTGAGATGATTTTGGAACCATGGCTCATAAGGATACCTAGCCTAGAGTCATTGGTTAGGCTCCACACAAGCTGCTAGTTAGCAAAGTAACACAGTTCTGGCCTAGAGAATAAGCGGGACGGGCAGTAAATCACACCACAATTTGATAATACACAGGGAGGAAAATCAGAAAGTTATATGTGACTGTAAATGATTAAGAACATCCAACAGTCTGAGTAACGTTGATTTTTCTACCCCCAACAATCATATTCCTATTCTCAAGCGCTAAACCCACACAAGAACGTTAAGTGCTGAGCACATAGAAGGGCTTCCCTTTTCCATAAACTAACAATCTTGTTTGTTATTATCATTGTTAGCTGCCCTAGAGTAGGCCCCTGATTAATGGCAACACCATGCATAACGAACAAAATGCTGCCCAATCCAGTGCCATACCTATGACGGGTTGTGGATCAGATCATTATGATCCATAGGGTTTTCATTGGCTGATTTTCAGAATTCTCTATGACTTTCTTCCTAGTCTGTGTTAGTCTGGAAGCTCTGATGAAACCTGTTCAGCATCATAGCAACATGCAAGCCTCCATTGATAGTTGGATGGTGGCTGCATATGAGGTGTATTGGCTGGGACTCAAACCCAGGCTTCTTGCATTGAAGGTGAGAATTATCCCATTGACCCTAATCTTGGCCTACCTGCCCCTAAAACAGGAGTATAAATTCAGTTGCTCAGTTGTCCCCAGCAGGTAACATCAATGAGTGAGGCAGGCTAAGAAAAAGAAATCCATAGTCCTCTGTATATCTTTCATATTCCTGCTTATGGTGGAGGTATTGGTGTAGGAAATATCTCTCATTCCTCTTGACTTTACCACCAGAAAACAAAATTTCAAGTGTGCTAATAAATGGAAACTGACAGCCAGCAGCCATGTCAGGAGATAATAATAACCAGTGGGGGCCCTAGTGAGCTGGAGAGTGCAGGCCTCTGTCAAGAGGGCACCTGCTCTGGCCTCTCCTTAGCAGCCCTGAATCTGGTGCTGCCATTGGAAATGTGCACAGAGTTGTCACATCGTTCATTTTACAAGAAAAAATGGAAATCTGGATTTTCATGAGACCTTTCCCAATTTTTAAAAATAGGCAACTAATTGAACAAAAAATTCTTTAAAGACAATGCAATCTTTGTATGCAGCCAAACAGTATGTTGGCCAAACAAAATATGCCTGTGGGCTGATCGTAGACCCTAAGCTTATAGCTTGACATCTCTGATCTAAATTAACTTTCTAATATCTTAGTGAATACCATCTGATCCCAAAGAGGATTCCAATGCAGCTGACCTGTTTCTCTTCATCAGGGCAGCTCATTCC